TAGTGATAGGACAAGGGGTGATGGATTTAAACTGAAAGAGGGGAGATTTCGATGAGATCTAAGGAAGAAATTTTTCACTCTGAGGGTGGTGAGGCACTGGCACAGGTTGCCCAGAGAAGCTGTGGCTGCCCCATCCCTGGAAGTGTTCAAGGCCAGGCTGGATGAGGCTTTGGGCAACCTGGTGTAGTGGAGGGTGTCTCTGCCCATGGCAGGGGGCTTGGAACTGGATGATCTTTGAGGTCTCTTCCAACCCAAACCATTCTATGATTCTATGATTCTCCATTTGTTGTGCAGAGCAGGAACGGGAACCCTGGAAAAAGCCTGCTCTGCACAGAAGCTGTCGTGGGTCCTGACAGCAGCACAGAGAGGGGCGCAGGGGGCTCTCCCTCTGAGCAGCATCCCTGCCCCCAGCTTGGCTTTGCCATTTCCATGGCATGGAAGGATCCAGTCCTCTTTCCTGGGGTGGATAGTGAGAAAGTGAAACAGAAAAGGGGGGAAGTAAAATGGGCATTTAGAAAGCAGTTTGATAATGAGCCTTGGAAGCATAATTGTTTAACTGTGATTTTGTCACGGTGGCTCCAGCACCTTCTTGGGGTGGGCATCTGAGCAGGCAGCACAACGTGGGTACTTTGGAGTCTGTGTCTGCTCCTGGAGTGTGGTGGGGCTGCGCGTGGTGCCTGAACTTGGCCGTCCGTGCAGCTCTGGGTGCTTTGGCAATGTGAAATGTCGTACGATTCAAAAGGCCAAAGATAGGAAAAATGTGAGCAGAAACTTCCAATTTTTTCATCTATTGTAAAGATGACTATTTTATTATTTATTTGCTGCTTCTTTCTGCTTTTTTTTGTACTCATGAAATGTCTTTTGTATTATCAGAGTTCAAAACCAGCTCCTTTGAGTGTCTCAACACAAGTTTTCATAGCAAGACATTTTTTTTGAGGATACTTGTGAAGCAGAATCTTACACGTGCGTTCTGTTGGAAAGGGGAAAAAGAAGAAAGCTGGCAGCCTACGTAGGTAGGGAATGGGTTTAATCCCTTGTTCCTGACAGTAATTGAACACACCAGATCCTTCCTGTAAGCCATTGTGCTAAAAGTAAAAGCAGGAAACCAAGAAGCAGATGTCATCTCATCACACTTGTTGCACAGCTAGTCCTTTTCAGTCTACCTTTGCTAACCTGCTCATCTTGGGTTTTTTCTGATCACCCTTGCTGCTCTTTCCTTCACTGAGCTTCAGGACTGGTGTTTTCTATTCCTAACTGAATAGTAATTGTCTGGAAAAAAGGACAAAAAAATCCTAGTAAACTAATTTTAGGGGGAAATTTGATTTCATGCTTCCTAAACCTGTTGGTGAACTGAGCCTGAACTCAGTCTGCACCTTTGGTTGGAGAGAGTGGGGGAGGAACACGAGCAGGGCTGCACGCTGCCGTCTCGCCCCGCTGCCCTCGAGCGCGGGCACAGCCGTGGGCGTGCGGGAGCGCCGGGGTCCCCGTGGGGCCTGAGAGCAGTTTGCCTTCTGTGCGTGGAGGCTTTGATCTCGGGGTGATGCTGTTCTTTGACTGGAAGTCAGGACCATCTTCTGTTGTGGTTGGGGATGATGGGTGCAGGGACTGTGCCCCCGGGGTGTTGGGAGGCGGTGGTGGGGTCAGGACACTGGGAATTCAACACCTCTCCAGGAAAGAAGGAAACATGTTTTTGGGTGACTGTTTTAGTCATTGGGCAGGAGGGAGAAACCAGAATCTCCTATGTAGCTCCTTATTTATTTCCTCCCACAGGTCCCTAATAACAACTGTTTCCAATTCAGATTACATAGAGATTGTTGACTCAGGTAAAAGTAATTGTGTGACTTTTTATTTTAATGGGAAAAACTGAAGATCTAGCAACAAGAAAAAAGTTTGATCAATACATTTTGTTTTGTTCTGGCAGCCAAACCAATCAATCAGGTATTTGTACATGCTTATTGCCAGCATCCTGAGCCATACCTTAAGGTAAATATCCTCTGTCTCCGGCATCACTTAATTAAAACTTCTCCAGAAGCATGTGAGAAAGCAGGGGCCGTTATAAAGATCAAAGTGAAAGTGAAGAAGGTTCTCTTTGTGCAAAGATTAGCTAGAAATGATGTTTCTTGAGACAAAAACTGCTCCATTGAGTCTTGGCAGTGACTCGACGAAGTTCAGAGGGCTCTTCTACTAGCAACAGTAGAAGGGAGAAAGGACTCAACTTCACTTTCAGTTCTGTTTGTTTGCCAAAAAGAAATCTGGAGGTGCTGGGAATTTTGGTTGAAATGTTGACATTTCTGTGGTTTTTCAGTGCTGCCAGTGGCTCGCAGCGTGGGGAATTTTAATGCCGGGAACAATCCCAAACGATCAGGTCAGGTTGCCAAAGTGGCACAAACCACTGGGAAAACTAGAAGCTGTAAAATCAAGTAATTTTCAAGGTATTGTTTGAGGAAATGGTTTGCCTTGTTGTCTTATCCTTTTCATAGATTATTCTGCGTTTTCACAGCTTACTTATTGGACAAAGGCGCATCTGGAAAGGCTGAACCTACCAGGTCTGCTGGAGTTCCCGTCCTGGATCTGATGTTATTACAAAAACATTTGCTGGCAGCAGGGAAGGACAAAAAAGATGCCAATGTTAGACTTCTATATGCAGCCTAGAAGAGAAAGGATGTTGTTTCAAGAGCAGGGTGGTACAGAACTGACTGCCTCATGGTCGTGGTCGTGACCGCCTTTCATGTACTGATTCCTGTGAATTTCCAAAACCCCATGTTAGAGGAGTTAAACATTTGCTTGCAGAATTGCTCAAATGATGTATCTTATATATGCTGCAGTTCACATCTCTTTGATGCATCTCCAATATCTATTATCTTCGTGATCGTGATCATCTTTGCATTTGGTTGCAGAATCCTGGTTACCTGCTCTCTTCTCACTAGACAGAAATAACCATAGCAAACAACAGGAACCTTCCTTGTCTCCAGCTGGTTTAAAGCGTGGTACTGCTGGTGGGACCAGTCCCGGGCTGACGGGTGTAGGGTGGGTTTGGCTCCCGGACTGCCATTAATTGCCATAGCAGTTTGTAGCTGCTCAGAGCATTTGCCACTTCTCTGGTCCATCAAGGGTAATATATTACTGCAGAAATCCTGTGGCAAAATCCTTAATTTGCAACTTTCATGTTTTTACTGCTTAATTCCCTTGGAGATTTTTACCTCGGGAGCACTGTGAATTAACCTGACAGTTTAAATAGCTGTGCACATGTGTTTCCTGTTGGAACGAGAACGCAGGATGAGAATGTGAAAGTTAGACATATTCTATATGTGTCATTTGGACAATATATACCCAATTCCTTGGGCATCTGTTATTGCTAGGGAATGAAAAATAGCATGTGCCTCTGCTGCTCTGAGTCCTCCGCAGAGATCGAAGCACTTTTATGTGAGCTGGGAAGGTTGGATGGAAACAGAAGCTAATGTGGCTGGTACGGTCGGGTGGCTGGGATGGATCACCCTGCTGCTTCCGTGAGAGCTCCCGCGCTGATGCCGAAGGCTGCCTGGTGCAGACCTGAGCAAAACAAGGCGAGTAAGGAAATAGTATGCATGTTGACCCATTTCGGTGACGGGAGCACATATTAGTCAATTTGTAGTAGTGTCACATTCCTGGAAGAGACACTGGCAGTTTAAAATCAGAATATCCATCAACGTGTCTGAATTATATTACGTGGGTCCTCTTGCATCTCACTTCTCTGCCTTTTTTATTTGCCCTCGTGTGGCTCCAGCCCTTTCTGCTCCTGATGTTGCTTCAGAGGGTGCTTTGTCATGCTGATCTCTTCTGCTGATGTTCTACTCAAAGTATCGTAGCTACTATACTGTAAGTAAAATATTTTGGGTTTAGTCATGAATATTTGCTATTTATCCACAATTCCTGCTTACCATTTATCTGTAATTTCTTTGTGCCAGAGACAGCACAGAGGTTAACAGGAAGAGCCTTCCCAAATGGATCAGCCACTCCATTTGGGAAGGCTCTTCCACCATCCTGGCTGTAAGAGCAGCTCTCCATCTAGCTGGGGTTAAATGCCTGGTGTGACCACTGCACCCTCACCAGAATGGGAATGTTGAAAAAGAAGCTCCATTACCTCCCTTCACCAGTGGACAGCAGAGAAACTAAGAGCTGACCCCCCCAAAGGTGGTAGAAACCTCTGCGCCACAAAGAGGACCTGAAATCTGCCCTCTCAAATTCCAAACCGTTTCCTTTCTCCACCCTGGCTCCTTTTTTCTTTAAGAAACCCTTGGAAATTGCATACTTTGAAGCTGTACGTTGCATTAGAGGCTTTTTTCCTCGCTGCTGAGAGCCTGACCACAGCTGTCTCCGTCCACAGACGCTCGGTTCAGCTGTGATCATTATCGACTCTAATAAGATTTTTGGCTTCTCCATCCAGGCGATAGAGATTGCATGACCCACACAATGGGTGTGATTATTGTCAGGGTGGGTTGCTGAGCTAGCAGCCTTCCCAAGGATTTTAGCCTTTTTCTCTTTTTTCCCCTGGATATAGGGATTCTTTAATGTGTAGACTCTACTACAGAAATATTGCTGCCATGGGTGTTAGGTCTGAGACCCCTTTGCGTCTGTTCCTCTCTGCACGCGGGGCGGCGCGGTCATTTCTCCACGGTGGGGCCGTGGAAAAGCCCCTGTGAGCGTTCTTCTATCCCAATTTCAGAGGCTCTTACACCCCCTCACTGGTGCAGTAATTAGGAATGAGAAGGTGTTGGGGAGTATTGCTCTGCGTGCCTGGCTGCTGGTGTCTGTTCTTTGGGTGGTGTCGCTGACCCTCTCGTGAGAGCGCCCACTTTTTCTGGATGAAAGCAGTGGAGAGCTGTGAGGGGTTCCAAAGGATCTTCGCAGCAGCTTCAGGTGTGTCTGAATGATGGCTCCATCCGGAATGCCAAAACCCTTCAGTTTCGACAGTATAAAATATCAGTAGCCCAACTGAAGTGCATCGAGCCAATGCGCGCAGCATGGGCAACGAACAGGAGGAGCTGGCTTTGCAAAGTGCTCAGAGATCTGCAGAAGAGCCACGTTTTGCAGGTTGAAAGCCATGGGTTTGGTCTTTGCAGATGTTCAGTGGTTTTCCTCCAGGTGTTTGGATTTCTGCTTGGCCATGGTCAAGGATGATGAGTTCTCCTTTGGCAGAGTGTGAGCAGGCAGCTGGGGCTGGTGGTGGAGAAGCCACCTCCTCTGTGTTCTTTCTCTATTACTTCATTTAACAGTACTTTTAAATCTATATTTTAAAGCATATCTGTGAACATGTCCTTTGTCCTGTTGTCTTTTAATTAACTCATCCCCACTGCTGTTTCTTATTATGCATGTCTGATACGTAATTAATTAACACACTGAGCAGTGTACTGAGGAAGTTGGTATCCAAGATGCCATAGAAGATGGCATAGAGAGAGAAACAAAATAATGAAGGCAAAAGTTGTGTTTTCGTCTGCCAACGATGACAAGCAGAATGTCACTGGAGATGTGATTTTGAAATTTTTTTATTTATTTATTTGGTTTTGTTTTTTTTTTTTTCCTAAAATAAGCTATGTAACTGTAATATGTGAACTGTGCTAAAAGTGAGTGTTTCTTTGGTCTGGGTGTATTTATCACTATTATGGTGTTGACACTGTTTTTTGTCAGTGTTACCTGTGTATTTATGAGAAGTCCGGTCACAGACATAGGCTTTATCTCAAGGTCTCAATTGCTTGGGCAGCTCCATCCCATTAGATGACGGGCATTTGAATGAGTGAGGATTTTCTTGAACAGTCTTTGCTTTGCCAATGTCTCAACTCCTTTGCTGTTCCTATTCCAGATAAGTTGTTTCAGTGGAAGCATTTTCCCTCAATATCTTTCAACTCGCAAAATTAAAAAGAATCTCAGCTCTTCACTGAGATAAGTTTGTCTGACACGTTGTCAACATCACTTGCCTTTCAGCCTGTTGGGTTTTTTTATTTGGTTTAAGCTTGTAGGGGTTGTTGATTGTGTTTTTTTGGTTTTTTTTTTAATCCCTCTACTGACTGGTTTATTTATTTATTTTGTTTTTCTGTGTTGATGTTTTTGCCCATGTGTTTAATCCGTGACCCTACCCAGGCACCCAGGCTGTATGTATCCCAATGAGTGATCTGTGCAAAAAAATAATTGTATGAATCCCTCAGGAAGCTCGACATGAAGATAGAGTGTTCTGTAAGGGCAGCGATCCGATCGGAGACTTTCTCTTCCTCCCAGGCTCCCCTTCCAGCCATTTCCCACATACTTCCACTGACATAGTCCTTTTCTTCTTTCTTTTTTCTTCAACAGGTGGGCTCTGCATTGCTCAGTCCCTGAAAATCCCCCAGGATCGCAAGGACAAGACCATCGACTTTGATAAAATTATCAAGCAGCTCCTAGAAACTCCCAATGCCAGGGCCATCGTTATTTTTGCCAATGATGAGGACATAAAGTAAGGATGACTGAGGGAATTCGTTCCTTTGTGCTTGATAGCTATGCAGAAAAGAGAAAGCCAATAAGAATATGAATAATGATGTGGAAATGCCCGTTGGTAAGAGCAATGTGGAGGGTAGTGCCAGGCACGGAGGTGCTGCTGCTGCTGCCCTGGCTCGCGCGGAGCCCAGACCATGCGTTGCTGTAGTAGGGGGTCAGGAATGTTGATCAAGGTCTGGAAGCTTTTCGTCTCATAGGGTTACTCATGCATTGGGTGGCAGACCTGACCTTACCTCTCAAAGAGGCACTAAGGAGATGCCCCTCTCTCCAAGCTCATACTGCTGTGTATTGTTCATTCATTCAGAGTCTGTTTTATGACAAGTGATAGTAACTAGTGATAAAACGTCTTGGATGCTCAAGGTTCAGCCACATATAAGGTGTTCAACGTTTAACCACATGCCATTTGCTCTTAAAATAATATAGAGACGATTTAAAAAGTGTGACTCGCGTTTCTCACTTGCCTGTGTTCCATCTTCTCTCTCCAGAATTTTAAATTAGCTTAAAATTTTGATGGCATTGTCAATTGCTGAGAGGCTCAGCTGAACAAAATGAAACACAAAGAAGTCAGGATAAAGTTTCAGTAAAGACAATGGCAAAAGTTGAAGTTTGAGTGGAATCAGGATTTCAGTCTTTGGAAATAGGGTGAATCAAAAGAAAGGTGCAATCTGTGCTGCACGGATCATGATATTCCTGAGCTCTGTTGGTTACAGGAATATGCTCTTTCTGTTCGTTCTGCAGTCGCAACACACCATGTTTCCCCAGCAGTTATGTGTTTAAATGAAATTAATTTGTGAACAAAATGTTCTTTTCCGCAGGCAAATCCTGGCGGCCGCCAAGAGGGCAGATCAAGTTGGTCATTTCCTGTGGGTGGGCTCGGACACGTGGGGCTCCAAGGTGAGCCCGTTGCTGCAGCAGGAGGATGTCGCCGAGGGGGCCATCACCATCCTGCCCAAGCGAGCGACCATAGAGGGTAAGAGCTCTCTTCTTCTTTCTTCCTGAAACGCTGATGGTGCAAAACTGATAGTCCATAGTTTTTCCTTGTTTTGTGAATAAATGTGTAGAGACGTGGTATGATACAAAGAGCATGAAGTACATTGGGTAAGTCTTCCTCTCCTGAAATTTCGCTCAGTGTCTGTGTTCCTCATATGAAAACTGTATTTTATTTCCATAGTTGAGAAGCTACCAGCAGTTATTTATTAAAGGAAGGATTTCAGAGCTTATATGGCAGGGCCTTTATTGCTCAAAAGAAAGTAAACCAAAACCATCTTAACATATCATGTGCATATGTAGGAAGAGAAAATCTTTTGAAATTTATGTATCATCTCTGAAGCCGCGGGTAAGTTTTCTACTGAAGAAGTAAAAATTCGTTTTAAATCAACAGTTTCCGTTTAAACTTGGCTTAACTTTTATTTCATTCAGATCGAGCACTGTATTTATTTATATCTATTGCTTTTGTACTTCACAAATATATGTACTGGTACATATGCACATGTATTTCAAAATTAGGGGGCACTCTGAGTCCTTGAACATGTTGCCCACATGAAAACGGGCTCTGATGTCTTCACTCATCAGCAGACCAAGTATTCACATTCATTTTTACTGTGGCTACACTTCATTAGTTATTCTTCTCAGGTATATAATATGCTTCATCCTTTTACATTTCTTAAACCCTGGAGGCATTTTCACATGTTACCTCTCCACAAATACGTAAAGTTGATAGACAACAAAGTGGTTTGTTTCTGAAAACCAGGATACTTAAATAATCTTTTCCTGCTGTCTATATTCATCCCTGAGGGTTTCTGACACAGAAACGAAAAGTGTGCCAACAGTACACAGAAATAAAAACTTTCCAGCTTTGTTTTAAAATATTTTCCTTCTATATTACACATTGAATACATTGGACATAACAGGAAACATGAGGTTTGCTTTTGGACAAGGTATTGTGGCAGGGTTCAGGTATAGAAAGTTAATTAAATAACAGTTACAAATGCCAGTGAATTTAGTGTATCTTCAAAACCAGACATCCATTGAGCCCATAAATACCTTGCTATTCACTGAAGATATTAGACAGTTGCCTAGAAGTTGGCTAGTTGCAGTTTGCACTTGTAGTCACACACATTGCATGGTTAACTCGTTTGTGATGCTTAAATTACGTTTTGCCCATGTATATAGTGGTGTTCATTCTCCAGGAGTGGGTGCCGAACAGCAGATACGTGTTTTGAGGTCTGTGAGGTGCGTGTTACATCCTGGAAAGGGAAAAACACTCAGGCAAAAGTAGGTTCTGTGCTTGGTATGAATGGAGAGGCAGAGCAAGGTGTTCCAGAATAGCAGTTGCACTGTCAATAGCAAACGTTCCCTGGCTGCTCTGTGACCACTGAGAAAGGTTCAGGCTGGTTCTTACCTTTGTCAGTCCCATTCATCCATCCCTAATTGCCATCTGTATCTGCCATCTGCTTAGTCCTGTTAGGAGGAAGAGTAAGGGGATGGTTAAGAGGGCAGAGCAAATTCCCGTTCTCCTGGAGCAGTTTTCCAGAACTCAACATTTCCCCTTTCAGACCGATTCCGTATCTGTTTCATCCACTAAGAGAAACATTCAGTGAAATCTGTTACTTACAGGAATAAGTAATCCTTAGGAATTAGCATTTCTTTGCTTACTGAGGCTGTTATCCATATGGATTGTGTGCCTTTCTTGCATTTAGTCTGCTGTATGTTGTTTTGTTTTTCTCTCTGTTGTTGTAGTAATTTCATTTGGCTATGAATCAAGAGAACTGGAAAGATGTTTTAGTGTTATTCTTTTATCATCCAGCAATGAACATCTGCTTCTAAAATTTAGTAATGCATTTCTTTTGATGAATACATAAAATAAATGAAATAAGAAGCTTTGATTTTCCCTATAAATTGATGGAAACAAACTAAATTAGCAGAATGGAACTCCAATTTGCCCCGAAGGACCGTGTCTTGAGCAGTATCCCAGCCTAGCAGTCTCCTTTTTGTGTGGCTCATGGGTTGCAGGTCAAGGCAACAGTTAAGCACCAGCTTAATTCCCACTGGGTTTGGTGAGAGCTTCTTTAGTAGGGATGAGTAATTATTTCACTCCTCAAGAGCATCTTCATTTTTTTCTTTCCTTTTATCCTTATGTTAAATAGCATTTGTAACATGTTAGGAAAGATTCCTAACAAACTTCCTTTATGGAAACAGCACTGCAGCTCCCACACCTTAACCTGAAATAAGTGATGCTGCTAACCTCTTCTCACGCTTTAGGGAAAAAGGCTAATAAGGCAGGAGATGTTAAAAGGCATTGGAAATTTATGTGCCTGCATGTTCGAGTGTATGTGGTACACTTTGGATGATCAGATTTTTGACATCACGTAAGTTATTGATCACATAAGTTATAAACTGAAACAGTCATTATACAGAAAAAGACATTTTTCAAATAATACTTCTCAGCCCAGCCATGACTCTTTAATTAAAAATACAGATGTGACATGTAGGTGTGTTGGTGTATTTGCACCTATCTACGTATATGCCGTGCGAAGTTCCTGATTTTGGTGACAGTGGGAATATCCCAGCAGCCTCTAGCTCCATAGAGAGTCTGCAGCTCCTGGTTTCTGGTAGAATCAGGCCCCAGATACGCAGCTATTTGTCTTGATGTTGCTCTTGGGACAAAATTTTCTTTGCCATAGTCCCATGGGGTGATTTAGGAAATCATTACATGAACTGAATTCATTCATCTTAAGTCAGTCTTAATATAGCCCGATTGTATTTGATGTAATTATGCTGAAAGGATAGAGTTGCATCTTATTTGCATAATTGCAGTAGACAGTGAGCCAGAGGAAGTGCACACTTAAATAGTAATCACTTTGTGAAAAGTTGTGTTTGGAACAAACTCCATAGCCACCTTAACCAAGTATCAACCAAGCTGAAAGTCTTCGTGAGGTTGTTGGGAAAAAGAGCAGGATGTATTTGGTTTTGGAACAAGTGTGGCAGCAGAATGTTGTATTCTGGTTATTGTTACTCTTCCAAAACGAGGTTGGGATGGTCTGTCCTCATGCTCATAGAAGATTACGGAAACTTCAGCCCGGTGCTGAAACTCTGCGTCTGCTCGGTGTGCTGCAGTGCAGAACGGCGGGTCCCGGTGCTTTGGGAGGTAGGAGCAGGTACTCGTGTGCCTGAGTTGGAACAGGCTTTTCCTCAGACTATATCCCTGTAACAGTTTTCTGAAAAGGTGTCATATAACCACAGAGTGAGTGTTAGTGCTGGAAGATGAGAAAAATTAAGCAGTTTAAACAACAGACAGAAGATGTATTTTTTAATTAAAGTTTCAGTAGGATGTATTGTTATTATTGGTACTATGATATTCATTTTACAAAAATACAGAAATGATGGACATCTGTGGCTCTGCGTGCTTTTGACATTCATTAAACCAGCAGTGCAACAGAAAAAAATCTGCAGAAAATCTTTCTTCAAAACACATTTGGTGGGATTTTACCTACTGCTGCTTTGTTCTGCAGAAACCCTTATTCTTCTTCATTCACCTGACCAGAACGATGAACTTTAACCCTGGGGAGGATTTCCGTGTCAGTTTGGTGTTGAAGGACAGGAAGAGTGCCCGGCTGCTCGCGGGAAGGTGAAATGCCACGAAGAGAAGCAAGTGTGGGCTGCAGGAGGACTTTGGGCAAGCATTTGAGTAACCATGTGACCAGGATCCTGGTAAAAATGGGAGATGTTGAGGCAAGTGTAGCAAGTCCCCAAAATTTAAAGTGCCAGAGAGAAAATGAAAAGAAAGGTTGAGACTTCAAAAAAAAAGTGTTTTATTCTTGCAGTTGAGCTGAGCTTCTTGCCTTCAGACTAGCGAATTACTGCACGTGGTTGTCTTCTCCTTAGGCAGCCATAGTCTGAGAGAAAGTTGTTCATTTGTCACAGTTTTCATCTGAAATCCCAGAAGCTTTGTAGACCATCCAAACCAGCCAGAAACAAAATATGGAAACACTCCCTGAGCTCTTGGGCTTGGACCATCATTCCACCTGTGGACTTCCCCGAACGATGGCTGGGATGAACTGCAACCCTATTTCCTTGTAGATGGAAATTAACTTCTTCCACACTCATCTTTTTAATCACAAACTGACCTTTAAGTATTCCACTGCCACTTTACCTCTTCATGTTTCAGTAGGTTTAATAAAATTAATAAACTTGTTATCACGACTGTACCCAAATCAAATTCTCCCTTGTAGCTGCCTGGGGTAGCTCTCTGTGCTACACCGTGTGGGTGTATGTGAGACCTACCTGGACGACCCTCTGATTAAAGATGATAATGCTGCTGATCCAGACATCAATTAAAGCTCTCCCTTGCAGGCAGATTCCAAGTCAGGAGTTGCTAAATTCTTTCCCTGGAGGAAGAGCAGATCTTTCTGCCAGCGATAAGAAAATATCTGTGGCATGAGAGATGAAAAAGCCTGATCCTTTTGGAGCAGGTTTGTGCAGTACGTGCTGAATTCAACAGGGAAAGCTCTTGGGCAGTGCAGCAGATACTTGGGTCCAAGGAATGGAGTCAGGCAGATGGTCTTGGGCTTCAGAATGATGTTCTTTCTCATTTTTGTCCTTTTCTTTCCCATTTTAGTCCTTTTCTTTCCCATTTTTGCCCTTTTCTTTCCCATTTTTGTCCTTTTCTTCCCCATTTTTGCTCTTTTCTTTCCCATTTTTTCTTCTAGTCTAAGCAACACCTACGCTTCAGGTTTTAGATTTGCTTATATCAGTCTGTAGTAGCTATTCAGATTAAAACCGGCTCGTTAAACTCCTTCAGGAGTGTGGCAGGAGCAAGTTTACGTGGTAGGTAGAACCGTAACGTTCAGGATATTGGCTGGACCTTCAAAAGGTGGCTCCAACTTGCCACATGGCAGGCCAGCAATATCTTTTTATCAAATGCAGCGTCACAGCTGATATTTATTCCTGAAAAAACATTCCTGTCGTGCA